TGCCTTCAGGTTAGCTCGTTCGCTACGCTAACTCGCCTCCAGGTTGAAGTTCGTTCGCTACGCTCACTCACCTTTTGGTTGCAAATTAGCTGTTGTCATAAATGTAAAAGAAATAATAGTGCTGCACCCTGTTGGTAATCCTTGTAACTTTAATGCTATTGAACATCATAGAACAGAACCAACTTGTTTAATTGAAAGAGCTGTTAAGATTCATTAATTCCATTTCTCATAAGGTTAACATGGGAAACTCCAGAGCCACTGGGGCGGAGCCGATTGGACGGATCACGAAATTGATGGTGTATAAACCTATTCCATGACATTCTACACGTATGTACCAAGTTTCGTATCAATCAGTTCAGCGGTGTCTGAGTTTATCACTGCCAAACAAACAAACAAACAAACAAACAAAATACAAACATCCTCTTTTATACTTATAGATAAGTAAACCGTTGTAGTTAGCTTGTTTATGGATATATTTGGATCAAACTTGGCAAATCTATTTATTTTATACTAAGCTAAAAATATTTTATTAAAAAAACTCACTTTATTACCCTCCCTGTAGGCAGCAAACCTAGGAACTCGTTAAACCTAATGTTGTTTGAAAATATTTCATTTAAAATCCCACCAATATTTAAAAAGGGTGTGACGCAAAATTCTAGGGGGGGGGGGGGAATAAACTAGTATTCACCTAAGTCAGGCTAGGCCTACCCCTAGAACCGGCCACACTCAAATTTCTTCCCCGGAGTGCTCAGGAGCCGAGAAAAATCCAGGGGTCGATACAAAGTTGTCACGGCTTTGACTGATCAATTTATTTAAATTGTATCGAAGGCTCAGAGCTCTAGAAGCGCTCAGGAAATCCTGCAGACGCCCAGTTGGAGCTATATATCATCCTTACCTTCGTTTAAGTGTTTTGTTAAATTTTACCTAACCTTTGGAATGACTCTGTAGGGCCGACGAGTATTCAATCTTAGCCAATGTGATGTAAATACTCGTATTAAAATGTGACTAATTAGTTTAAGACGTTGGTAATCGATCTAATATCGAATGTAAGGTAAAACAATTCCTACAGAGTCGTCGGGGCCTAATTAATATAACTGAACGGATAATTTGGTGTGATACGATTTAATGTTCATCTTTTTTGTAGCTGATTGTCAAATCAGCCTACTCCCAGACTTGGTTCTTTCACCCGCCAGAGACGGGGTTTAGAACTCGGTGGACAAGTCTCGGAATATTAAAACGTTGAATTAACTAAAATAAACGTACGTAATAATTTTTCGTAGAAATCGTAATTTTGAAACTAATTAATTTAAATCAAACCAAACGATAATCACCGCTAGTCACTGGCAGGCAGGAACTGGCGGGTTTTATGCAAGTCGGCGAAAACTAAGTTATTAAAATTTAGTCAAATGTAATCGAACTTAAACGGGTAAAAATAAATGGCAGACGAGTATGCGTATGTTAAAAGAAATTTTAAATGAAAGTAAGAAAGTCTGAAAACGTAGCTAACCTGAATCAGTGGATAACGTGATATCGTATGGCGAAGTTAGTGTCGGTGTGCGAAGAGGCTTCTCGTGAACGAGTCGACAGTCGAACAGCGAATAATTTTTGTCCGGCTCAAACCCCGATTTCCTCGGCCGTGGCTTAAGCGCTCCGGTGGTGATTTTGGAAACTAGCCAACAGCTGATCGGGGATTCGGTCTAGTTATCGTCTGTCATCGTCAATCAACAAACACCAGTTTGAGGTTATCTCGTCGTCGTCGGTGATAAATATGCGTAAAGTTTGTCGGTTACCTTTATTTGGTGAAATGGGAGTGCTATTATAAATAAATATGCAGTTGAGGGTGTGTTTGTGTACTTCACTGTGATTAAGAATAGGCCCTACGTTCTTTGGCTCATAGTCGAAGCTAGGGCCAACACATAGGCCTAGGAGTAGGCTATTGTAGATGAAAACTGGTAAGTTATGGTGTTTATTGATTAGCAGTACGTTTTTTACCCCCCTCAAAATTTGGTACCTCACAAGGGCCTAAAATCGGATACTAACAATTACCGTCCAATTTCTGTATTGAGTAATTTTTCTAAAATATTTGAGAAAGTCATAAATTTAAGATTGGTTAGTTATTTTGAAAGCAATCATCTATTTTATAACAAACAATTTGGATTCAGGAAAAATTTAAGCACGAGTTCTGCACTCACACAGTTTATAAATGAGGTTACCCAGGCTTTGGACGGGTCTCAGGCTACTGCTGGTGTATTCTGTGACCTGTCCAAAGCTTTTGACTGTGTTGATCACTCATTCCTTCAGCTCAAGCTGAGTGATTATGGTATTAGGGGAAGTTGACACTCTCTATTGAGTTCTTACCTTTCTAATAGAAAACAAAGAACTGTAATAACACTGGATAAGATCAAGTACTATTTGCCATGGGAAAACCTATCGGCAGGTGTGCCCCAAGGTTCATTCTTAGGTCCTCTATTCTTTCTAATTTACATTAATGACCTTCCTAAAGCTATTGATCAGGAACTAATTCTTTTTGCAGATTATACAACAGCCTTGATAAAAAATAATGATACTTCTGAAATGCTATCTTTTCTTGAAAATGTGGTTCATGACATGGAGGGTTGGTTCTTGAACAATGGATTAAAAATTAATCTCGAAAAAACGCAAGCAATAAAATTTTCTGTCAGAAACAATGGTAATAAAATTAATCCCTTAAATTGGCAACCTCTCATAAATTTCTAGGTGTTTGTTTACATAGGAGCAGCCCAGGCTCTCTCACCAATACTAGAGTCTGAAGCTTTTACCCTTTCCCAAGCTAATAAGCTGTCAGCCATTGATCTAATTTTACTATCCTCCGATCTTGAGTATGCTATATAGTGGTTTTTGCGTGCAGCATCCGATTTATTTATGCCTGGATCCCCTTGCTTATCTCTTCCTTAAATTCGTTCCAGGTCCACAGAACTGATAGCCGGATATGTGAAATTCTACAGGTAAAATACCCTGTGTCTGTGTACAAGAAGATTATCTGTGTACTTACAGGGTGAATAAAAAGTCAATACTCCCCCATCTAATATTTTTCTAAGTTAGAACACAGTATAGTCTTCTTGTACACAGACACAGGGTATTTTACCTGTAAAACTTCACATACCTGGCTATCAGTACTGTGGACCTGGAACGAATTTAAGGAAGAGATTAACAAGAGGTGATCCATGCATAAATAAATTGGATGCTGCTTGCAAAAACCACGATATAGCATACTCAAGATCGAACTATTGTAAAATATTCACAGATACCCTTTTGTTGGTCGTGCGAACTTTGCACTAAGTTTTATTTTATGATTTTGAAAAGTTTTAGTGTCACCAAAAAATGAGGGATTATCGGCTCAACTGGAGATTACTCTATATATAAGATATATTAACCTTTAAACATTACCAATTTAATTTTAAACAGTATGATTTAAATTGGCATTCTGTTAATTACGTTTTTTTAACCCGCCCTTATATTTGTATCTGGATCCGGATCCGAATCTTTCAAGATCCGGATCCGGTACCAACGGAACATTTTCTTGGATCCGCCCATCACTAGAATATATATACACTAGAAAGGCAAAATAATAGAAGGGTGGTAGGGGTTGGGCAATGACCTCGGAGAGGGCAACAGTGAGTTGAGTAGGGTGTTGGAGGGGGAAGGTGTGGGTGAGACCTTTGAGCTATATTTAGACTAGACTTTCACCACTTCCCAAATGGCTGGGTAGGGGACTAGGGGGATTACAATAGCAATTTTTTCCTTGCCTAGTTTGACTTTTGTCTTTTTGCGTATGAGTTTTGAATCATCAAAAATATAATTTGAATATACCACAATTATTTAGCATTGATAAAACAATATGCAAGGGACCAGGAGAAATATTATTTGAATTAGAGTTAATGCCATGATTTGCATTTTTACATAAAAATACAACAATCCGCAATCATGATATTTTAGGTCATTGACCTTTATAACGCATCTCTTGTAAGTCGATAATTATAAATTGATGTTCCTGTGGTTGAAAATAATTATTCTGTAAACAAATTCTGAACAATTCCCATTTTTGTAAAAACTCAAAAGTTTTTGTAACTTATGTTATTTTCCCATTAAAATACCATAAAATTAAAAAATCTGATTTTTAGAGAAAAGCTGGTTCTAATATGTTAAAATAGCTGTAACAATTACGGTTCAAAAGTTATCGCAACTTTTGTGATTTTTGATTTTTAACTAAAAAATATCATAATTACCCTCACCGCTTACCCATGATAAAGGTTGTTGACAAGCTTATGGGAGAAATTATGTATCAGAATGCTGATACATAATTAATGATTATTAATAAGGTCGATAAATAGCTTTAAATTCCAACCAAACAGTCATCAAGTAGTACTAACCAAGAAGCTCTGTGCCAGTTTTTAACATTTTAGCACAACTTTAAGTACGCCAATACACAAAATTATTGAAGTCATGCGTCGAAGGGACTATTGTTGTTTTGAACAGAATATACTTAACCTAGCGGTACTGTTGACTTATAGAAACAGCAAAATCGTTTGACTAAATATTTCAATATTTGTTCCCTTAGGAACTGTTCACTAGAAGTCAAAATCCCATTAGGTCAAACTCGTATACACAGCCTACGTTTTTAGTACTGACTTTACTTGTCGACTCAATGGGACTGTTGACGTAACGCTACAGCAAAATATATTGTTTTTGATCTAATGGTACAAGAATAAATTATTTGACCTTCTGGCACAGTTGACTTTCTGCAACACATCACTCAATAGTCTCCCCCAAGATGATGGGCCTCCTAACACTAAAGATCTTGGTTGTTGCTGCATAACTTATTAACTTATATTAATTTTTTATTTAGATATTTTTGCGATTGTAGTTAATCCATTTGTGGATAATCAAGAGTATACTGTATATGTTAACAGGATTTATCTATTGGGAATAATATCTCATACAAATGTGTTTATCCATTACAGGCAAAAGGAGCAAAGCCAAAGACTAAGACTTCTAAACTAGCAATGGAATTGGATGTCAGGCGGAGAACTCAAAGCTGTGTAGGCGAGAGCAATAACATCTCTGACTCTCTGGATGGAAATAAATCAAAAAGTGCCTCCAAGTAAGTGAGGACTACAACTCAGAATTTTTTTTTTATATTTATTAATAAAAAAGGTGGAAGGAACCAAAAAAAGGACCATGTCTTATATTTGTAGTATTACATTATTTTTACCTTATAACTACAAGAGATATTCCCCTCCCCCAAATGTTTTTTGAGGGTTGCTGGATCCATCCTCTCTCTTTTTCTTAATGTCTTGTAAATAAATACAGTATGAGTATGTATAGTAGAACCTAGATTAACCGGGAGAACCTTAGATTAACCGGGGTCAACATAGATGCCTCTTTAATTTGTTACATAACATCAAATATACCAACAAAATGTTATAAATTATGTTTCTTTAGTCTTATATGTTGAAATGCTATGTATATTTAACTATTTCCAACCATTTGTATATGCAGTTTTATTGTTTTTGAAACATAACAGTTCATTTGACTAAAATCGAAGCAAAATATAAGTTCATGTTTTTATGGACATTACGACATTCTTCTGTCTTGAAACAGAATGTAGCAGTAACTAGCAGTGTAGGTACTAGAATTTATAAATCTATTCTCTAAGTGATTTATTGACAGTGTTTAGTAATTATTTTGTTTGAGTAAAAGTTTGAGTAAGCTGTGATTTTAAATGTTACAGTTTTTATTACAAGCTTATTAACTTGACATAACATGATTGCGCAATAGCATACTAATTGTATTTTGATGATGTAATAAAATGCAAATTTCTAGGAAATTCAATAAACCTCTTATTTGAATTTAAAGATAATAAATATACTTCACTAAGTGGTAAAATTGAGTTTTTTTTTATCCAAAATGAATTATGTGTAAGAGTTTCACATGGCGGAGTAGCTATTTGTGTATAAGGAGTGCATAGTATGTCATTGCCACTCGAGAACTGTAGATGAGAGCAGTAATGACTGTTTCTGCTTGTAGTTGTAATACACACAAGATTTTTCCTACCACCATAATTATCTTATCATAACACACAGATTCACTTTTTATTTGTATATAAAATGTCATTTTGGATGTGTTTGGTTTTTGATCCGCGGCTGCGGCTGGTGTGGCAATGTGATAATTTTGATACAGTGGTGGAGTGGTGGGGAAAATCTAAAGAACAGCATTATTCTCTTTTGAGTCATCTTCCTTTTACAAGCATGGGTAAGGGATGATATACCATCTGTATAGCATCACAAGAATCAAATATAATATACATTTGACTTAATTGTATTACAGATAATTACATTAAATCATTATGAATTCAAGTAAATTGATCTGCAAAAGTTCATTACCTATGCTGTAACAATGTCAAAATGAAAGTGTAACTGTGGTGATTTTTAAACCAAAGACCCAAATGGTCACATGACCACTTGTGATTGGTGGAGTAGGCTCGTTAGTTAAAGGATGTATCGTAGTAGTGCTAGGATTAGCTGAAGAGACTTCCTAAACGTTCTGTCTAGAATATGCTTGGTTTATTAAATTAAATTAGGGATGGGGAAGAGGTCACAGAGAATCAGCTAAATTATATGCATAATTTCAAATCTATGAATTTTTTTAACTTAACAGTTTACAATATTGTTAATATTTTACTAGGCCTATCTGAAAAACTTGTTACAGCTAATAGTAAGTGTAATACTCTATTTTAGTAATTGTGTAGATAATGGCTTTTTATTTGATTTACAGAGCTAGAACAAGAAAAACAACTCGAGCCGCTACAATTGTCCCGGCTATCCTTGTCAGTGAAGCCGGTAACAGCAAAGCTGGTAATTCCTATTATGATACCTATTCTCTGTACAAAAAATGTATCAGATGTTATCCAATATTATGTTGTATCTAGTTGTTATCCTAGACACGAACCATCACATAATGTTCTCGTATGGTTAAAGATTAACTTACACAGAAAATTCTCAAATTATACACTTAAAATGCCCACGTTACTCTTTTGGAGAAAAAGTCAACTATGTATTACTAACTAATAAATACATTATGTCCTTATTGTATTAAAAATATAAGTTTGTTTGTTAATAGATTTGGAATTGATCAAATTTGGAATATTGATTTATTCATCCTAAGCTATTAATAATGAATAATTCGAGTAAAAATAACATCAGACAATTTTAAATTAATTTATAGTCCTAGGTATGGTGTTTTAAATCAAAACCTTTTATTCACATTCTATGTTGTATCATGTGATATATCCTACTAATATTATCTATTATATTATTAAAGTGATACAAACAAATTTTATGTAAACCGTTGTTAAGGCCATTTACCAAATAAAAATATAGGCATATGGCATATCAAAATTAAGCTTAGAGTGTTTAGATTTGCCGAAAAGTATTGATATGGACGAACTCCCTAACGGCTCTGCCCCACAGGCTGATTTCCAAAAGGCTACGCCTTGCATGCTTAGGAAGTTATTATTTGATTAATTTAGTGAACAACAGCTGGCAATGCAATTGACAATATAGTTTGTTTGTTTACATTTTTGTTTACTTATTTTATTATTTACTTTTATGTTCTTAAAAGAGGCGCGGTGAATGGACAGTGAAGCTATTTATAGCTGTTTGTTACAAGTGAGTAACTAAAGGTGTTCGAAACATGATGCTATGAGATTTTTAAACAATGTTGTTCGTTCCAAGAGGTTGTCACCGATCTTTAACAGATCGCAATTTCATTGAAAAGTATTAAAGTAAAGTATTAAAGATGTCGTGAAAGAGAGCTGCGTGTTCAGGTACAACCTCGGCCAACCTTAGGACGTAAGGTATGAAGGTTCCACTGCTTTTAACGCCCTTTCAGATGACAATTTCTCAAACTTGGGCCCTTTAAATGAAATATAAAGTCAAAGTTGATTAAATTAATTTAATGGCGGTTTCTGTTCACCCGTGAATTCGCGGGTAGAACCTCTTGTATTATATTAAATTGAATATTAGTTGTGGATATGCTAAGACCACGACACAGAGATCTGGGACTTCCTTTTTATTTAGATGTACATCAGGCCAAAAAAAGTATATGTATAGGTTGTCTAAAGTAAATATTAAACATGTATTCCAGAAAAAGATTAGATGTTTGATATTATATTATTACTAGCCCATTTATGCTCTTAAAGCTTCGAAGCGTTGCACAGAGGTTTTCTGGCTATTATGTTGCTGAGGTTTAATCACCAATGAGCTGCCGGGTTTTCTGTTTTCACTCTTGTCCGTGAGATAAGCTGATATCTTACTTGCAACCACTTTAGCATCATTGATGTTGTGGTTATCCAGCGAGTCATAATAGTGAAACCTGTTATTATCCATTATGTACACAATGGTGGACCACTGTCCTCCAAAAAATATTTCCAATTTTACTCTTATCAACAACTACTAATTAAAATAACATACAATTTATATTTCATTGTTGCAGATAACAAGACAACAGACACAAAGAAACAGTATCGCAGAAAACTGTGGGATGCAACCCTCAATAATGAAGAACAGCAATTTGATGATGATGAGGTAGGTGTTTTTATTTGTATTAGAACTCAATGAATTGTGCCATAGCCACCTCTAATACAAGGCCGCGGCGAGCGAAAAGTGGCAACGTTGCATCCGTGTCTTGATGCGCGGTCGTCTTACCATTACAGTGGATGGAGGAGTCGCGTACTCGACGTACATAATCACGTTTCTAATACCCTTAATCATTAGTAATGACATTGAACTTGTTACTACAGCATGTCAGATAGATGTGATGTGCCTGGATGCAAGAATAATTACGAAAGCTCAATTAAAAATTAATAATACATACAGTGTTCTAAGATTCTACGTGATCCGCCGCATAAGCAACAATAGCTTCCTGCTATTCTTCGGTCAAATTAGACATCTTAAAACAATTCTCGTTTTTGTGTGAAACATTTCACGAATATGAACTTAAATTTGTAAAAAAAATGTAAGAATAAGACAATGATTCGTGTAAATATACGTTTTTTTCCGATAACAAAATAGCAAACTGTGTTAGTGCTAAAACAGCAATGCGGAAGTTGGCGCAAAACACGTTCGAAAGTTTGGTATGAAAAGTACGACCTGAACTAACTTACTCATGAATTTTTTCTGGTTGGACTGGTGGACACCTTGCCATTACCGCGGGAGTTGATGATGATGACTACATGGCCGCGGAAGATAATCAGAATGTTGTCACCATTGCGGAAGACAAGAGGATGATAATGTCAACACGACCACAGGAGATGATTAGAATTTTGCCGTGATAGCGGAAGTCGATGATTGCTTACAAGGAGTATAAAGATAAAATTAACATTAATTTTTAGGGACAATTTTGTATAATAAAAAAATAAAAAATAAATTTCTCTTTGGGGAAGGTTTTTGACAAGACCCAGGGTTACTATCGGGTCCGATTCTACGCATCGGTGATACGCCAGAACCTTCCCTAGGGGAACCCATGGACTCTCGCTTCCTCTTTCTCCTTTGTCTGTTGGGAATCCACGTGCCCTCCGCCACTTTCCTCTCTCTAACAGACATTCTATACTCAGTTCTGGTCATAACTGTAGAAACAATCTCAGAGTCAGACGATTCGCCCGCCAGAGACGGTGAATCGCCAGCATTGCTGGTGTCTAGTGGCGTGTGGTACATACTGAATTCAAGTACAATTTTCGGTGCCCAGGTTGGCTGGATAGTGGATACCCAGATAGCCTGTTTATGTTTATAAAACAACACCTCTATCACACTTCCCACCTTTTTTCCAATAAGAGAAAATTAGCAGTAAGCATGTGCAAGCACCTAGTGATCAAGCTAATACAGATCATCCAAAAATGAACCTTTGATTTGAATTGAAAACAGGACTATAAACTTTAATCCGGATTTGGCTGCCCTTGAATTGGCAGATACAAAATTGTCCCTAAAAATTACTGTTAATTTTATCTTTATACTCCTTGTAAGCCATTAAAACTTGACATCAAAACTTTCTTTTGAATTTGAATAATCATAAGCCTACTTATTATGACAAATTATAAATATGATAAAGACAAACCCAATTTATAAACTCATTAAAAAATATGTGAAGTAGGTCAATTATTTTGGTTGGTCACAGCATCATTCGCACTAAAATGTAAAAAAGAATTTGAGTTAGTCAAAGGTTATATAGTAACAAAAAAAATCGGCAACAAACATTCAAACTTCTTCGCTGAGCTCTTAATTAGAAAACTACCTCTATGTGGGTTATTTGCAGGTGGGCTACTTTTGAAATGAATTAAATTAAATACTGCTTTATTTACACATTTTTTGTACAAGTTTTACAACATTTCCATATTACAGAAAGGTCCATGTTTCACACAACAGGCTCACATTTTTTTCAACAGACTAGCAACAGGTGGGCTACTTTTCTACACTGAAACGTTAGCCACAGACTATAGAGTTATTATTGACTATTGGATACTGAAGGTTTAATTTATTGATACTGTTGTATTAACTAATAGTCAAAGGTTATAGTTTGTGCGTTAACATTCCAGCCCGCCTTTCCTCCAAAAGTTGTCAACCCTTGAGTAAAAAGGGTTGGAGCCCCTGGGTCTATAATATTAAATTCAAATTATGTAAAATTTCTACAACAATACTGTGATGGTTATAAATGTTTATAGTGTGTTATTAAAAGTAAAAGTATTGTAGACAAACCAGCTATACCTTAATTTAATACTCTGTGTATTTAAAGATAATTACAACAGAAGGGATTATGATGAATGAGATACTCCTTCCTGAGTACTGTATAGTGCAGTTGGTTGTAAGCTCGTAGCTGACTGTGTTGGCTGCTAGGCTACTGCATTTTGTGTTTTTCACTTTTACCTGCAAATTGATTGTGTCCCTGTCTCTTATCATAAATATATTTAAAAGACATTAGGTTTAATGAGTACCTAGGTTTGCTGCGACAAGGAAACTTATATAGTGTATTTTTTTGTAAAATATTAATTGCTTAGTATAAAATAAATAAATTTGTCAAGTTTGGTCAAAATATATCCATAAACAAGCAAACTACAACATTTTACAATATTCTCCATAAGAATAACATGGGAATTTTAAATTTACAATTTTTTGAACTTTCTCCGTTACCAATCACCGTACAAAAACACTTCGATATTACTAAATTATTTGTTTTTTTTTAAGCTCTTTAAAAAAGTCTAGAGAGAAATTGGGAATTTTTTTGTTTTGAGGGCCAAAAATGAGAAAAACCATTTTTCACCCCATGGTCCGATCATGCTGGTTCGCGAACTCATTCAAGTTTAAACCGCCTTACACCTTTAAACCAAATTTAATCAAAATCGGACACAAAATTACTTAAGTTATCGCGTTCACGGATGTATATATATATAAATCTTTCCCTATAGGGAAATTTGCTAAAAGGAACAAGAGAATATAATGAGATATTTTATTGTTTTTATTCCTTTGATATTTTAATTTAGGTGTTCACGTAATTCTTTATATTATATTCCTTTGATTTTATATTATTAATACAACTCTTGCTTACATGCTGTTGTCTGTTCACATTGTGTGGTAACCACGTAAATCCATTGTGCAATCTAGCTTGTCTCATTAGTTTTACTTGAGAAAAACTAATTTTTGACTAAGATAGTGAATTGAAAGTAATTAATTATTGTAGGCTGCTCCAAACCGATGGTGGTAGTACGGCCAGAACCGTACCGTACCGACTTTTTAGGTGCATCCCCTAGTTTTCTTTCATGATAATTTACACTGTTTAGACCCCAATATCTGACCACTTTCAACATTGTAAACTACAGTATTTGGATATACTGTACCTACATTTGATTGAATCTCCATCTAATCTGCTCCTGCATTTTATCTGATTGTTAGACCTCTCATCCCTCCAGTATTTTTCATATATATACATACTGTCTTATCACTGTCTTATCTATCAACAAATTTTCCCCTGTCCTTCACTTTAAAAGATATTGTAAGTTCTACTGTAACTTTTTGCTTTTCTTTTTACAGAGGTTGACAATACCAGAAGATTCACCTCATACCTACTACAAACGAACCCTCCGAACCCGCAACAAATAATGTAGACTGTTAAAAAGACTTATTCTTATTACTTGTTGTGTGCTTGATTCAAACTTTATATGTGTATTTTATAGTTTTATAATTGTACATTTTTAAATTTAAATATTATGCTCTAAAGAGTTGACTGCATTTTATTCTATAAAACTTGTTTTGTTATAACTATTTACTCCAATAAGTCCAAAAGTTTTGTTTATTCGCAGATGTAATTATGTATGTAGTATTAAGTATTTAAACATTTAAAATCATATTTGACAAAAATGTACACAGTATTTTACCTGCTAAGTAGACATAATAAACGTGATTTCTTTCCAATTTCAAAGCAGTTTTTGGGGAAGAAGATTTTACCACGACAGACCAACGCAAAGTTACTTTAAATTAAAGTAATTTGTTAACTAATTGTTAAGCCTATTGATCTGTGAATTGTGACACGTGGTCAGGTGTTTCCTCAATCTCTTCTTATCAGTTAATTCCATTACCTGTGTTTTCTTCACTCAGCTTTAGTTAAAATTTTGTAAAATAAAAACACGGAGGGACTGTAAAACCTTGATAGCAAGTCTCTCATAGGGATTATCAAACAGTACTTGTTATCAAGGTTAACTTCTTAACTTCTACCACTTTTGCAATGACATGTTGACAAAATTAAGGGTATATTTACACTTAAGGGTGACTTGCTACTAAGGGGCTTGTAATTGAAGTTCCACTAATAGCGTAGAGGTAAAGAGGCCTAAATGGCTTTATAATTTAGGTCAATAATATAAATAAGATTACTTACTGCCGTGGCTCCACAAATCTCAGTTGATTCTTCGCCTCGTTTACCAGCCTCTTCCACCCTTCTCTATCTTCAGCCAAGTTGACATTTGCACCCATTGTCCTGATGTCGTTCAATACTTGGTCAGTCCATCTCAATTTCGGCCTTCCCAATGGACGTTTACCTCCAGGTGTGGCTCTCCAAACTTCATACAGTCTTGTTCCTTTCTCTCTTCTTAGCACATGCCCTATCCAACGTAACCTTCTTCCTTTAACTATTGCAACAATATCTGGATCGGTGTATAGTGATCTTAACTCTCTATTTTTCCTTATTCTCCACATTTGTCCCTCCTGCACTGGACCAAAAATTTTTCTTAGGACTTTATTTTCAAACACCATGAGTCGGTTTTCATTTTTCTTGGACAATACCCATGTTTCACTACCATATAACAAAATAGGTTGAATTTTTTTTCTTATATAATTGTATTTTGGTTCTGTGAGATAATACTTTAGATGAGATCAACTTCTTGCAGGCTCCCCAACACTTATTAGCATTTGATAACTTAGTTAGTATGTCTTCATCTTCTGAGTTTCTACTATTTACAGTTACTCCTAAATATTTTAAACTTTCTGTACAATTTATAGTTAAGTTCTTTATCTGTATGTTTCTGTTTCTATTGTTTGCTTGTCTTCCAAAGTTAATGATTTTAGTTTTTTTCTACATTTACTTGCAATTCTATTTTGTTTGCTTCTGTGATAAGTACTTCTGCCAAACTTACCAAGTTTCCAACAGTTTCAGTTTCTGACAAAATGACCACATCATCATCAAATGCCAATATGTTTAGATCTACTCCAAGCTTAACACCCAATCCAAGTTCTTTTGTTTTCTGCAGGGCTTCTTCCAGTGCTAAGTTGAATTTTAAACAACTTTTCCACAAGCTGATTCTGTCTATGCTGTCGTATGCTTTTTTTAAATCTATAAATATTGCACTAACATTCTTGTTGAACTCCCAATATTTTGAAACTGCCTGCTTTAGAAGAAATTAAATAAATAAATAAGATTAAATCAATCTAAATTAAACATAATGATGACATTTAGTTCTGCCATACAATGTACTGTATATCAGTTATTGTATCATGGGCCTGCATTGTCTACAATGACAATCTTTTCACTTTGCCTGTATACTTTTACATTTAGATACCTCTTTCTCTTCATTTGTAATTTGTTATACAGTTTTGTACTCTTGTAATAAATTTAGTATCTTTTGTTTAATGGTGATGAGTGTTTTATTTTTAGTGCCTAGATATAGACCTGTTACTACTTCAACCATGCCGTTGGTTTGTAATATTGGTAAGGTGGTAGTGTTGTAGCCCAAGACAGCAGTCCCCAAACCTTTCAGTCTGGCAACCGCCCTTCATCATGGATTAGTTTTCACGACCCACCTAATATTAATTAATATTAATTATTAACATTTTATATAGGCCTAATTACATATAAAGAGTCCACTGAGAAATCTTATATATTAAAAATATTTGGGTTTTCTTTTCCGAGTTCGTTTGGCTGTTCTACCCGACCGATTTTCATGATTGAGGTCTCAAATTGAAGGTATGCACACACAGATTTGCCATCAAGCATCGGCATGTTTTTATCTATAATCCCATTCGGCTTATACGTAAACGAAATTTGCTCCCCATGTATTTCTTATGGGAGTTAAATTTGGTTTTTCTTTGCCGAGTTCGAATGGCTCTTCTATCCAACCGATTTTCGTGATTGAAGTCTCAAATTTAAGGTATGCACGCACAGATATGCCATCAAGCATTGGAATATATTTATATATAATCCCACTTGGCTTATAGGTAAACGAAATTTGCTCCCCATGTATTTCTTATGGGAGTTAAATTTGGGTTTACTTTGCCGAGTTCGATTTGTTCTTCTACCCGACCGATTTTCACGATTGAGGTCTCAAATTGAAGGTATGCACGCACAGATTTGCCATCAAGCATCGGCATATATTTATCTATGATCCCACTTGGCTTATACGTAAATGAAATTTGCTCCCCATGTATTTCTTATGGGAGTTAAATTTGGTTTCTCTTTTCCGAGTTCGATTGGCTTTTCTACCAGACCGATTTTCATGATTGAGGTCTCAAATTGAAGGTATGCATGCACAGATTTGCCATCAAGCATCGGCATTTATTAATCTATAATCCCACTCGGCTTATACGTAAACGAAATTTGCTCCCCATGTATTTCTTATGGGAGTTAAATTTGGTTTCTCTTTTCCGAGTTCGATGCGCTCTTCTACCCGACCGATTTTCTTGATTGAGGTCTCAAATTGAAGGTATGCACGCACGGATTTGCCATCATGTATCGGCATTTATTTATCTATAATCCCACTCGGCATATACGTAAACGAAATTTGCTCCCCATGTATTTCTTATGGGAGTTAAATTTGGTTTCTCTTTTCCGAGTGCGATTGGCTCTTCTACCTGACCGATTTTCATGATTGAGGTCTCAAATTGAAGGTATGCACGCACAGATTTGCCATCAGGTATCGGCATATATATACCTACTGCATTTCTCGACCAAAAAACATAATTTGATTCTTTTTAGAAGTCTTACTTCAATTTAAGATACCAGTTATATAATTATATAATCCTATATATTTTGGTCCAAGATCCTTCAGTGACATACCTGCTTACATTTAGGCTATTATTTTTTCAAATCGGACGAGTTTCAAGCAAACACGCAAGGTGAACAACAAATATTAAATTTATTTTTCATAAGGTATTTTATATGATTAAAAATCAATAGCTCCAGTATTGTTAAGGTCTTTTATATGATTTAGACTCAAAATAATTAGTAAATTATAGGCTTTAATCTGAGATATTGATCGTTTGAATCAGTTAAGCTCAAGATACTGTATTGCTCAATCAAAAATCAGGAATTTGATATTTTCTCGGATATTATATTTATTTTAACGCTGCGGAGCAGCATGGGTCCTCTAGTACATATTAAATGAAAATCTTTAAGTTGGTGTAATTGAAGCCACAATGACATTTAGTCCAAAACACTTATATTTCAGAAATGTTAAATCATTCAGACTTCTGAAGCAGAACTTAACTCTTTGAGACCAAATAATTATGTTGACCACAGTAGGATTTTTCCACTCAAAAGACGATTTCTGTTCTTGTTCTTCTTTGTTCAATATTCCTAAGTGGATGATCTCTTCTCACTAAAATAAAATGTTAAAATCTAATCAGATTTTGGATTTTACGATGAGTTTTCTCATTTTATAACAAACATAGATTGTGCTTTTATTGTAAAGCCACCCTGACTGTTAACCATAATCAAGGCACCATCGTAATAATCTCTGATGATTTCAGCAACGTGATCAAATCCGGTGTTCGCGGCAACACCATGACCATATCTCAAGGATCTTAGCAATATTATGATCGTTTTAACAATGGCTTGTGCTGATAGTGACAATACTGAGGATTTTTGTATAGCAATACTTTGCAGACTGTTCCACTATCTCAATATTGGAACGAGTACACAACTATAACAAATCTAAATTCTACTCAAACCCCACCTGAAATTTGGTAATAGTATCTTAATCTTTAAAAATTGTGTTTTTCCAAATTTAAGTTTCCAACCATCTAAACATCTAGGCATACAATTAAATAACTTACGTCATCAATCCATAAATTGCTGTGGAGTACGCGTTTCAACCATCAGGTCATCCTCAGCTCCACTGTCACTAGGTTGAATCTGTTTCTATGTTGCTTTGATTTTGTAGCAACAGCGTCGATATATTAAATAAATAGTCCAAACACATTTTACATTCATCACACATACACAACACGTACGAAACATTTAGATAACAATAATACTGATTATAACACCGTGCGCACGGCTGGACGGGCTCAGGTTTGCGGCTACACTCATCACATAAAAACACACATAACATATCTAGGCATATGTTAAATCCAAAACTGAAACTATGGCTTTGACATATAATCTTCCTTTCAAAATTATCTTTATTTCAACAGAAGAATGAAAATCTGTCACTTGGTTGATTCAGAATCTAACAAATTGCATAGAACGTGCAGCCAAACATATTTCTTTGTAAACTACCCTGTGGTCTATATTATGGCATAGTTTCACAATATGACTGAGCACTAAGAACTGATTTGTAATGTATAAGTATACAAAAGGAACAAATTTTCTTGGACCATGATAAATGAATTTTCTAGGTAAACTAATTTCCATGTGAGTGAATAAGTCCATGAAGTGTACGGGTATCTATTAAGAAAAATCCACCAATATAACTGTAAGAAACTGTTTTATTAACAACTATAATTGGCACCAAAAAATTAAAAATGTTTCAAAATGACTAGTCTCTGCCACATTTGTTATTCGTGTAATTAGATATACCACAAATTTAGAAACACAATTAATGACATATCACGCTTATTTTTCTTCTATTATGAACTATGGATTAATTGTTTGGGGATCTTCCTGTCGGGCTAAAAAATATTTGCTCTTCAAAAAAGAGCTATCAGACTGATCGCAAGAGTTCCTAAGACTGCACACTGTAAAGACTTTTTTATATGATTTAAAATTTTAACCTTATACAGTTCATATATTTATCAACTCGCTTTAATGGTGAAGGGTGATATAGGATTATTCATGGAAAGCCAACAAAACCATTCTCATAACACGAGATTTAAAAATTTAATCAAACCGGTTCAACATAGGCTTCAATTGTTCCACCTCTCCCCTCAATATATGGGACCACAAATTTACAACAAATTACCCACATTCATTAAAAACACAGAGTCTGTAGCTAGCTTTAAAAAAACTTTGAAAAAATGGTTATTGGAGAAGGCTTTTTACAAAGTTGATGAACTCTTATCAGAGCAAAAATAGAATTTAATTTTCTCATTTTTAATTTTAGTCTACTGTTAGTAATAATTAAGACTTATGGACAAATCACCTGTCAATTAACTTGAGTAATGTGATGCTTGATAATAAACCAAATAAAACCTACACAATACTATAAACTAGATTATTCAAATCATTGTTAAAATACAAGTTTATATACATATTAATATAAGTGATAGTTATATAAATCTTGTATGTGCTAATATATTGTATTCTTTTTACAACGTAATATCACAAATTAGTTATCCCAACCCTCTAACAAAGTAAAACTCTCATTTCACTTTTCAAAGATAATACCATTATCAAAGCCATACCATTATGTAATTAAAAAATAAAACATTGTTTAGCACTTGAATAGCGCATTAAAAAAATATGTATGTTAAAGAAACATAGTATGAAAATGTTTACCTTAAAGCTTGTTCCAGTGATGTGAACACGATTATCAAAGCTTTAAAGATGCCACAGACAAAAAAAAGACATTTTAAATGTTTAACCATGAACATGTTTTATATTATTATGTTTATTACAAAGAACTGTAGTATCTTGCTATATTAAGTATCAACTGAAAAGTAGCAACCTCTTCAAGGGACACCCAGTTTTTTTTTAACTTTTTAACAAATCATTTTATCTTCTTTAAACAGAAAAGTTAAATGTTTTTTACTATGTTGTCAATTTTAAAAATCACTTAATCAATCCATCGAACACAAATAACACAGTATACCGCCAAGAATAGCATTTAGTTTACTCTGCCTACAAAAAAATATTTTTGCTGAACAAGTCTCCAAGACTGTTCATCTTTTCATAAAAAGACATTTTCTTGTTTATCAAACTTTTGCATACACATGGGACAGATCTCTTTAACCCTCTTAGCACATTCGTTACACAAGCACACATGTTTGCATGGTAGAAGACATATTCTCCTTTGATTCTCCTTGCATATAACACAAGCAAATTCCAGTGGAATATCTATCTTCTTCTCTGTTTTCATATCCACAGTAGATGTTGGTTGGGGTTGACTCTGCTTGGGAGTGGGAGGAACCCAATAACTAGAAGTTGGTGAAGGATCAGAGGATTGCTTAGCTGGCAGCGTTGATGAACTTTGAAAGCTGTTCCACAATTTTTGGCCAAGAAACCCAACTAGAGCCACACCAGCACCTGCCAGTACAGCACTGGAAAAACATTGAATGCTGTAAATTGGATAAAGCATATAAATTACTAAATACCCCGGCCGCAGCAAACCTGCAGACTAAGCAAATTTCCATTTGCTTGTTTGTTTTCTGTGAGTTTAAAAAATTAATAGCATTAGTTTAAGCTTTTATAGGGAGCTGGCTGTGTAACTAAGGCTTTGGACAGTGTCTCACATTCTTTACTTATTAATAAATTGGCATAACTAAAAATCAAAGAACCTTTCCTGGCTAAAAAGCTCCTTAGATTGTTCTTTGCTAATGACGCACAAGATTGATTGATTCTGTCGGGGCGGACCTCGTCCTTTTGCACGTCAGCTACTGATGAGCTTTTTGTGCTAAGTGTGTCATCAGTATGTCAGCAGGTATACAAATATATGATGTATATAATTATATAATACTAGCAGAGGACGTCCTTCGTACAGGGTTGGCGTATAAATATAAAATGCTTGTTGCAGTTTTACTCGTGTTTTGCGTTTGCAATGGGAGAGAAGAAAATTTGTTCTTTTAATTTACGGTATACTATGGTACAGCGCATCTACCATAGCCATAATGTTCTACCACTGCACTTAATCAATAGAAAAAAGTACAGTTCTCATTGTGTATAACAGCTTTTTGTTGCTGCTTGGTTCAAATTAGCTGTTGTAATACATGCAAAAAATTAATAGTGCTGCACCCTGTTGGAAAACCTTATAAACTTTAAATGCTATCGATTATCATAGAACCAACTTGTTCACTGAAACAGCTGTTAAGATTAATTAATTCCTTTTAAATATGAATACTCATAATAGGCCGGGTACCAAATGGGTTAAGTATGCACTGAAAGTCTGACAAAGTTTGACTTTTGATTATTGTTGGGGATATCTAGTAGATTAAAAAATCGATGATGTCGAATTTCTAGGGTGGTCACAACTCGTGGAGAGGGGGGACGAAGTTGCGCGCGTGAGTGGTTTACGTTTCCGCGTCTAACTCTCAAACGGTTAATGGTTAATGAAAGGTGGTTTAACCATCTATCTACGCCTAAATATAATTTCCTTCAAAACGGTTATTACAAACTTTCTTCTATTTCTTATACTTTAGGCCTCAATCAATAATTCTTGCAAAAAATAAAATTTAAAACTACTTTAAAATGAAATATAGGAAATATTGTACGTGTTTAAGACATGTTACTTCATATGAAATGAAATGAAAATTGTCTTTATTTAAGAGGCGAAGTTAGGACTTGCAAGTCCTCTCTACCACTTAACCTCTAAAACATGAATAAATAAAAACTTATTCACTTATATAAGTAAATTTAAATAATCTAAAGTAATACATTAAATTTGTAAACATGAAAAAATAAGTTAAGTAATCCTAAAAAAATCCCATTCACACAAGCCGCCAACAACCCCTCACACCAGCGCCAGAGACTCAAAACTTATTCACTTATATAAGTAAATTTAAATAATCTAAAGTAATACATTAAATTTGTAAACATGAAAAAATAAGTTAAGTAATCCTAAAAAAATCCCATTCACACAAGCCCCCAACAACCCCTCACACCAGCGCCAGAGACTCGCTCAAGCCTGCTGCTCAATATAATAGATTTAATCTCTGCCCCAAACCTTGCATGGTTACCTATGGATTTGATATGGTCAGGAAGAGAATTCCACAATCGAATTGCAGATACCAAGAAGGATTTGTTAAAAACTGTTGACCGGTGAATTGGTGTAGATAAAAGGTGAGAGCCTCTACGAGTAGCACGGGTGCTGATGTCAAAAATAAAATGGAAGTTGTCTGATAAATAATTGGGAATTTTACTATTGATAATGGAGTGTAGAAGACGGAGGGTGTGAAATTCCCGAAGTTCATTTAACTTCATCAATGAAAGCAGGTGATCATATCTGTTAACTGTTACTTCATTTTCATAACTGTACAACAACACCAAGTTTAAGGAAATCTGTGCACAAAAAAAACAGAGCCACATTTAATTCTAAAAGAGTAGACACGCAAAATTTGTAGAAGTAGGCCTATCGAGACGCGCCATAGATAGCAAGTAGCCCAGTCAATATAGGTTTTATGTTTGAAGTAATTCTGGGAAAGCTGGATTTTTCTATGCTGTTAGACCATGTTGAGATGATCATTTTCCCAAAAGTCCCCACTCCTCCCCCTTGTGCTTTCCTCTAACCCCCCTTTTTAGATAAATTTACAGTCTCTTAGAAATTAAGCTATGTTTTTAAAACGGGTAAGGATAACAAAGCAATCTTTTGTTAATCCTTTTTGCAATAAGATTTTCTACAAAAAGTGTATTTACCATGTTAGCCTAAATATTCATAGTTTCAACAAAAAATAACTTAAATAAGGGATAAATTATGTGTTAGATTACCGATACAGTTTATTTTATTAGGAGATAGAGTTAACTTCTTCTGGGTCAATCCCCTTTATTTTTTAAAGATGTTTTTAGGGATGGCTACGAATTTAAAAAATATGTCCGCTATTTTCCAATATGCCTGACAACTTTGTTATTTCTTATGGAATATGCTGTATTAGTTTTTATTCTTGAAATTTTTTTTCTAAAGCTATTCCTTTAGGAGTTATAGCATGTTATATCTAAACAAAAAGGCTTGTGGTGTACATTCGGCATCCTGGAGCTCACAGCCATTTCTTCTTAGTAACACGATGTAACTCCTAAACAAGTAGCCTTAGAGAAAAATGTCAATAATAAATAAGGTTTTTAAATTGTCAGCCATATTGGAAAATGGCGAACATATTTTTAAAATTCGAAACCACTCCAAAAAACATCTTTAAGAAATAAAGGGGAGTGCCCCATAGCAAGTTAACTCTATATCTCATAGTACAAAATTTAGCTATTGGTTGACTTTAGGTGAGACCAACGAGCACATAATATAAATAGAGGGGCTATACCACCCTGCTTAGTGTCGCCAGTTCCGCCATATTGAATTGGTCAAGGGGCTCGAATTGGGTCGCGGCAGTGAACAACTTTTAATTGAACACGCACAGAATACACCGTGATTTAAGTGCCTTAGAGTGCACATAAAATTTTCAAATTTTGCACAGTTGAAGGTTAGGTCCTTCTTCCATGAACAGTACTATTTTAATTTTATCCGAAGTATTAATTTTTTAATTAATCAACGATAACTAATGTAATGTTTTTAAAATTATAGATTTTGACATCAAAAAGTTACTCTGTGAGGAAATTTTTTATTTTTTGGTCAGGTGAGTTTTAAGTTTTATGAACGTCAAGATCATTAAATGAGGTAATTTTCTCACTTGAAACATTTTTTTGTGGGAGCTTTAGTTTAGGAGTTAGGGCGAGCTAAATAACGGTAAATACTTACTCATTTCTGCCGCCGCGCGGGGCCCGTGTGGGTCTCGATCGGGCATCACTGGATATTTCTAACATGGCAACTTGAAAGTAGGATTGTTACTACATTGTAAACACTGCTATACTTAATATTAGCAAAACTATGTTAGTAATGAACATACAGTATTTCATGTGATGTTATAAACATCCAATAAATACTCAAAGCTTGAAACTATTTCAAAGTAGTGCGTAATTTGTCTGTTATACATTTCATATAAATTTCTAAAAGCTTATTCATATATTATAAATCATTTTAGATAAACTACCAAGTTAAACCACGAATTAAGGAAAGAACTTATATGGGAAGTGTTAATAATTATATTCTGGTTGTAGTTTTGCAATAGTTTATTATACACAGATAGAATTCTTTATTAATCTTCACTGACCAAGAAAGGTGATTGTTTTATTGAGATGGCTTCTGATTCTGCTTGTGTGGATTTGATCATTGAATTCATTGCTAAAATGATGTAATCTTGCAGTAAAATATTTCTTGCATATACATAGTAGTAAATTGTGGTGGTTTTGGTCGGCTTCTTGTTGAAAACAATGGTCTCCAGAAAAAAGTAGTATCCCTATAAACTGTGCCATAACAGTAGTGGTCATTTTCTGTAGTATATTTATGTCGTTGGGAATATTCCTGCCGTCTATATTTATTTTATTCCTAAAAACTGACTCACAAAGTCTGCACACTTTTATGACTGCATCTGACGGTTCAATTAGTCCACCTCTATTCTTAACAGAAATCAAGGTATTCACAGAGGATGGCGACGTTTTGACTAAAAGGTCACGACAGTCATTGCAAATTATTTGTTTTCTGATAGATCGTGCAACAAAGCCTATCAGTATTACTTGGACAATATTACTTGGAAAGAGTCAGATCCTTTATTACGATCATTAAACACGTACAGTAAAATATATCTTGTCATGCAACACGCAATAAAATAGAATGGCCAAAAACAATACATGAAAAAATATTCATATCCCTGTTACATTTTTATTAAAATAGACACTAGCCTATGCAGAAGAAGACGTTATAAATAAAAATATTAAAAACAAGGGACAGATACTGAGGTGTTAAGTAAAATTAGATTAAGCAGTAATGTAAGCAGTTAATGTAGTAGATGTTTTGATTTAAGTAAATTGTAACAGTGTTACTATTTTACCAAAATATAGTATAGAGTTGTTACATGTATAACAGATAGCTTATTCGTGTTTATTAATAACAACTAGAAGTATTTTTCACTTTCTCATTCCAGTTTCCATCAAGATTACAGTTTCCTCTGGTATAAGACATTTTTGAATTGACAGATTAAGAGGAAACACAAACGAATATTTTAGTTATTAGATCAAAATTAATTAACTATTATTCCTGCTAATATTAATGCTTACCTGTGAAAAGTAACATTGTTAGTTTTTCCTCTATTATTGCATCCGTAGGCAGCACAAGTTTGCGGCATTATTACTTTATCCTAACCTAAATAATTCACTGTTGAAACTAAGCTAAATAACTAAATAAAATGAAGTCAATACAAAATATGTTAAATATCACCATTCAACTCTACAGATTACACCTTACTACGGTTATAATTGTAAAAAATACAAGATTTACAACAAATACTGTATGTCTGTATGTGCGTTTATACGACGTGCGTCTATACAGTACAGTGGACTGTCGGATGCACCACCGCGGCACCGCGTAGTTCGACGCTCGCTAGTGTGGTGATTCATGCTTTCGACCGCCATCTTGGCTGGGTCGGGGCGCTCTGGACTGGCGACACTCCTGTGTACAACGCTTTAGCAGCGTGTCCTCTCTATTTATATTATGTGCTCGTTGGGTGAGACACCCTGTGTAATAAAATGAGGCCCTGACATTCAAAAGCAAATGCACAATATTCATTCATATGTATTCACAACAGTCCGTATATGTACTAAATGAACTACAGAACGTTAAATATTATCTAGATAAAGCGACATATTCAAATACAACAACCATGGTAATTGATATGTAAATTGTTTTCATCGTTGCGGCGCACAAAAAAGCCAGAGTTCTGTAAAATCTATTTATTGTACTATCTACATTAAGCACTACAGTAGACTCCCTCTTATCCGGACACCTTTTAACGGGACATCGGTTTAACTGGACTACACTCGGTGGAAATTGGCTTACCCATGTTGTTGACAAGCTAGTGGGGGAAAGTATGTCAGATTGCTGATACTTTTTATTTTATTTACCATTTACCCTTACTGTGTCTGAGACCCTATTGTTCCATTCTAAACCTAAATAAAAACTAGTTAATCTTATAAATACTAATACTTATATGTATGTTCAAATATTAAACTTACGTTCCAACTCCAAGACCTCCACTGCTATTTTCATTTTTCCCTGAAAAAATATATTCGGGGCGTAAGAAGTAAGTATGAAACTTTCTACTCATATTTTCTTATATCTATGAGGCTAAACATTCCCTGCAATACTCTGTGGCTACTAGGAGGTCACGAATTGTGGATTTTTATTGGCATGCACTGTGGATATGATGCTCCCTGGTGTGGATTAACGTCCGCACTAGTGAGTACTACGACTATCCGCAGTACTATCCTGATAATTAGACCAATTCGTTAATTACAAGGAAAAATGTGGTACGGATTCCACTATAAACTGTAGGTCCCTTAGTTGCCATTGTATTGTTGTATGGGCTATTAATTAACAGCTGTGTCTAAGGAATATGTCGGCCTTAGTCACTAACAAGACTACAAGATCGCGCCACTCATCCTTCGGGTTAAAATACGCACATAGTGGCGTCCCCATCTTAAATAATTGAATTGAATTAAATTGTGGAATCTCATTGATTGGTTCTACAAGTGTAAATTTCACCTAAATTCGACTAAATGACATTTCTGTGACCGCGGGAAACGACGATGACGTTTCCGTGACCGCGAGATCAACTATGATGTTTACACTGTCGCGGGAAATATTCATTATTTTGCCGAGATCGTGGACGACGACGATGACGTTTCCGTGACCGCGAGAGACGACGATAATGTAGTCACGGCCGCGGGAAATATTCATGATTTTGCTGAGATCGTGGACGACGACGATGACGTTTCCATGACTGCGGGTAGCAATGATGTCTACACGGCCGGGGAAGATATTAGTGATTTGCCGTGACTGCGAAAGACGACGATGATTATGTCTACACGGCCGCAGATGTTCATAATTTTGCCGCGATCGCGGACGATGACGTTTACGTGACCGCGGGACCAACGATGATGTTTACACTGCCGCGGGAAATTTTCATGATTTTGCCGAGATCGCGGACGACAACGATGACGTTCCCGTGACCACGGGAGTCAATGATGGTGTCTACACGGCCTCGGAACATTTTCGTTATTTTGCCGCGATCGCAGACGACGATGATTACGTTTCCATTATCGCGAGAGACGGCGATAATGTATACATACCGCGGGAGATGTCCAGGATTTTTCTATGATAACGTAAGACTGTTATTACTTTTACGTCACTGTGGGAAGCGACCACACGACCACAGGAAATATTCAGGATTTTGCCGCCGTTGATAATGTGTTCATAAAAAATGAAGATAATATTCAGGATTTTGCTGCCATCGAGTGAGACGATGTTTCCATGGCCTTAATGATAATGAAAATTATTACTTAATAAGGATTATTATTTTTTCAACACTAGCTCACTGGACTTGAAACAAAATTGATGTATATTGTATACTTAAGCTGCAAGTCTTAAATTGATTATAGTTTATGTGGAACCAAACAGATACGCGGGAACCTGGAAAATCTTTGAAAAACCAGGAAAAAACCTGGAAAACCCCGGGAATTTCACTTTAATAAAATAGTATACACCCTGCAAACAGCTGATCGGGCCGCTCTTATCTCTTGCCCATTCATACAGAGAACAATAGGCGAGCGCAACACTAGTGAACTAACAGATCGACTAGCCTTCTTAAAGCAGAACAAACCTTACAGAATATTCGGGATTAAATTGAAAGGCAGTGTTAATTATTTCCTACTTACATAATTATATTCAAATAACAATAAATTATCAGAGGAAATGTATAAACACTGGTATAAATAAATGAGATGTATAAACGGTTAAGTTCGAAGTCAATTAAATTCCAATAAATATCCTATAATTTTACCATACAAACGTAGCACGTTTAACAACAGTACGGACGTTAAATCGTATTTAGTTCTACGGTAGACAACCAATATTCCAATGCAATATTATGTCTCGTACACAAAATTGACTATGGTAATGTTCGTATGTGTAATATTTATTAAATTCTGAGCCAAAACAATTAATTATCGACTATGCCTTTGGGTGCCATAAGATATCGTTAACATACAATTAATGTCCCTGTTCGGATCGCCATTTGATATGACGAAATTTCGGGTTGAGAGACAAAATTTGATTTTTAAGTACGTAATTGCCGTCTCACCTGAAATTCTGTCACACCTTAAATTTGTCCAGATAGCTTAGCCTACTATGAGATAGTCCAGGACTCTAACGTGTTCATTAATTAATTATCGTTTCGAGTTTATTGGCTCAGAATATTAATTACAATAATAATGCTTACAGTGTTAAGCTTACCTTTAACAAGTGCTCATCATAGCCACTCGAAAAATATGTGAAGCTAAATTTAGAATTTTGAATAACCTATTGTCATTGTGAATGCGAATAAGCCTAATTAATTAGAAACTTAACTAAAACGAGATTCGGTCGTTGTACTTGGTAATCACCAAAGTAGACGTGTCGGGAAAATTAGACTTGGTCGATCACCAGAGTCGATACGGGGTTTCTTATATCAAACTTACGTAGGACGTTCCGGGGTAACGAAATAAGTACTACGGATATCGTTCTGGCAACTTAAATGATTTCCGCAGCTGGTTAAGGACAAAAGGCAGTGTGCTCGTGCGTGACAAAGCGTGCGGGGTGCGCGCGACTGCGGCACAATAACATAAAAATAATAAAACCTCTCTAAATATTAGATTAAACAAAAATAAAATCGGTAGCACACTAACCTTATGCTTTAGTATTCTACCAGGAACGGGGGGAATATTTAATTGACCAGAATTTCGTAAGTCAGGACTGTTGGATTTATCTCCAAACAGCAAGCGTCTTGACGCTTCGCCATCGCCCCTGGCGGCGGGGTAGGTAACTAACTATCCCCTCTACGATGACGTAGGACCCTTGCCCCTACGATGCCGCTGACAACACAGGCGCGGCTTACCCCGAACGTAGAAAATTTATAATATCTTAAAATGAAAACTTAAAAATCGGGTTTTTACCCCTTAGCGGGTTTTGGGTCGTTACAGATGTCGGAAGGTAGGATTGGTGGGTCCCACGAATTTCGGAAAAACCCATTGTTGTGTTAAACAGGAATCTTGATATGTCGTCAGACTTGATTAAGGAGTGACTATAGGTAAAGGAATGACTTTTGAAAAACATGTGGAGAAAATGGAGGAAAGCAAGAGTGCCAGAAGAGAGGAGACATTAGATGAGTGGCAAATGCGCTGGGAAACCCTTATGTGAAAAACAAACTCTAAAAGTTATATATTTTTCATATATCCACTCAAGTATATCTTTTGGGATTTCACTTTATGGTGCAACTAGTGATTACAATTTGAATTCTATTCTAAAAAAGCAAATGAAAGCTATTAGAATTATCTGCAATTTAGATTTTGAAACTTCTGTTAATAAAGAACATTGTAAATCAGAAAATATAATGACAATTTACGGAATGTACGTTTATGAAACAATTTTATCAGTAAAGGACAGACTTCATGATTTGGAACGAGTTGGGGATAGTCATAATTATTTCACCAGAAATCGGGAAAACCTTGCAATTGGCCACCATAGTCTAAAACTTTTTGAGAAAAAATGTATGCGGGATCAAAATTTTATAATAATCTCCCAATCAAAATTAAATCTGAGACTTCCAAAACAATATTTAAAAATAAATTAAAGAGATTTCTCATCAGCAAGGCTATTTTTTCTTTTGAAGAGTTGAATAGTCTTTGAAGTCAAAAACAAATTCAATTTATGTATGTTTTGTTTAGACTTAAAAAAAATTAAGTTTGTGAAATTTTGTTTTCATTTTATTATTATGTTAGAAATGTATTTAATAACTATTAGGCCTACTTGCAACTGTTGACACTATTCAATGTATTATGTACAGGAAATGAATAAAGTAGTTTTGAATTGAATTGAATTGAATCAGATAAGAAATAAAGGGAAATGTTCTGATACATGCCAAACATCATAAGGAGACTGGAAAAAGATTGGGAGATGGACCATTATTGAACGCAGTTTGTCACAGGACGTGGAACATTTCAAGGCGAATTTGTGGAGATTTAACTTGGTGGAAAAGGAAGTACGCAACTGCGCAAATAAAAAATAGAGACCACGAGTCACGTATTAATGAATTGTCTACTTCAGGAGGCAAATAGGAGAGAACAGGAAGAAGTCTTGGATAGGAAAGGTCAAGAGATGAGAAAATAAGCCTTGATGAGAGAAAAGGAAACCAATTGAGACGTTTAGGAAAGTAGCTAGGGAAATAGGTAGGACCAAGGATACATACATATGATGTGTCCATTCCAAATGTACTGGCTTATACTATATTTGTTAATTTACATATGTTCTGTTCAGTTGTTATTGTATATAAAATGATGATTGTGATTAAATAAAAAAACTTGAGTTGCTGCATTAAAATGTTACATTACTAAAATATCTATCAATGGCGACGAGAATAATGGAAGATTTAGAAAAAATAGCAGAAGATGTAAATAAAGTTAGGAAATTGAAATCATTGCGAAGAACAGTCAAGTTTCAGCTTGGAAATGTAAAGAAGTATGTGGACAAAGGATCATTTTCTATCAATGAAATCCAAACTAGACTTGATTTGTTAGCTGAGATTAAATCAAAGTATGACCTAATTCAAGACAAGATCGACTTCTATACAGAAGAAGAAGATTTAGAAAACGAGCTAACTTACAGGGAAAGTATTGAAAACATGCTGATTGATACAAAAGCAAGATTAATGGATGCCCAATTACTTCATATGTCAAGTATTCAACATAGCTCTATTCCCAATCAAAATAGTTGCACCACTGAAAATCTACAAGCTAATACACCGATTCCAGTTCTTCCTACTTCAAATTTGAGCTTTACTCCTTACGATGAAAGGGAAAACTTTTCTAATTTTGCCAGAAGACTGGAGGTTTTTATGACTTTAAAAGGTATAAATGATCCTCAGTTAAAAACTTTTACACTTTTACATGCCTTGACACCTCTTCTACATCAGAAACTATACGACCTATGTACACCAGACAATCCTATAAATAAAGAGTATG